ATTATATGACTCACATAAATTTTGTAACTAGATTTTCAAAAGACAGATCTGCTTCTTCCATGTTTTCTGTGTGCTGGAGAGTTATCTCATACAAATACATCAATACCTTCAAGTAATATATATATATTCTCTAAGCATGCAGATACATGCTTCTGTCTCTGCACACCCTACAAGCAGCTGGTCACTGATACCCACATTAATTCAAGCAATAATTAGAGTTTGAGTAGCTTGTTTCCTTGAGACAAAAGAGACCAGGAGAGCGTGGAAACAGACAGCACATGCGCTCAGCTGTTGAGCGCCCATTCATTGAAGCACCCTCCTAGCCTCATTGGCTCCTCACTGCAGAAAATTACAGCAATTCCGTTTCTTCCATTTCCTTTCTCCTTTTCTACGTGAAGGAAAACTGGCAGCCTAGAGCTCTAGCAAACCTTCCTTGTGATGCTTAAAATCAAACACATTGATATATTCAGGAGACACTTCAAAGAAGTAACTCGATGATTAAGAAATATCAAAAAGTTGCCTTAGTTTCATTAAAAGCCTTCAGAGTTTATTTTAATGGTACTGGAGTTCCCAGAAGGAGAAGCACATCATCTGACCGAGTTTGGCTTTAGGACAGTCATTCACTTGTGCATACAGGTCCTGGTGCTGGCAAGAGGTGAGGCACAAGTACTTGGATGCAAAAGCTGCAGACCTGACCAATTTTGACCCGTGCAGGGATGAATTCCTCTGCCTAACTTTAGGCTTCCAGCTTTGAACCAGAGGTCTCTTCCGTCTGTCTCTTCCTCAATGTTCTGTTTTTCAGACAAGATTCTTTACATTTGTTTGTATCCCTGCATATCCCATGTTGCTGGGGCCACGCATCCTCGCTGTGCTTTGTGAGAGGCCCTTCAGAGTTCAGCATTGATGGGGACTCTGAGTTGCTATGGTGTCACGCCAAGTAAGGCAGTTTGGCTCACGCTCAGAGGGTTTCAGAAGGACTTTGATAGGAAGTTGCTCTGTTTTTTTGGCATATGGGCCAGAGGAACATATGGCTAAGACTCTGTGTAAACATATTGGATAGCTTCAGATGATTGGTGTTATCCTGATGGAAGAAGGTTTGATACACAGAAATATAGGGAATGATTGTACCTGTTGCAAAATGAGCACTTTTCTGTATTAACTTGTGTGCGGTAGAAACAAACTTGTGTTTCTACCTTCTTCTGCCTCTCCCTCTTCCTATTTATGTGCATTCCCACTGCTCAAGTCCTTGTGCCCCTGGAGTTTTTCTAGCTCTTTGGTATAGGTGCAATAACGGGAGCATTTCCTTCCCCCTTTTCTCTTGCACTTCCTCTCAGAGGCTTTTGCACTGCCATTTCCCATCCCTGCTGCTTAGCATCTAGTGTTCCTGCCTATATGTGTCTTTGGGCAAGGTTCTTCCTCCTCCTTTTCTCTCCCCACCTGCTCATATTCAAGCTGGGAAGTCCTGCCTTCTTTCTTCCCCTCTTTCCTCTGTAACTGTTTGTAGTTATCTTGACACCTCTGCTAATACACTCCAGCTTAGAGGGAAAGACTCATTTTGGGAAAAAAGTCAGAGGTGGACCCTTCTCTTTATAGTGAATTGAAAATAGTAAAGATAGTACTCCCATGTTTACATGCACGCATATTTGTGTGCCAAACTTTGGGAAAGTTTATTTTTTTATTTCAAGTCAGTTTGCAGGCTATCATAGTTTTAAAAATATATATATATGCTTTTGGAGTCTCCTTATAAATAAGTTTGTTAGATGTAGAGTATAACTAGAAAGAAGTCATGTCTTATAATGATACTGCCATTTTATTTTAAAAAAATTCAAAGGAAAATCTGAAATATTCTTTTAAGCTAATGTCCACTTCTTGCCTATCTCTGTGTCATATACTTGAAGCCCTGCAATCTGGTTTGCAAGCTAAATGTTAGGTTCAGTGAAAAGAAGATAATGTTGAAATTGAAGTACTTCACACTAGCTTTGAGAAAGCGAAGTGCTGTACTTTAGCTTTGAGAGAATACAAGTTTTTTTTGTTTGTTCTTTCTAATTTCAAAACATGAAGAGAGGGACACTCTCAGAAATTGGAGTACTTATTTGTGAGTTCGTGTGAAGTCTCTTCCCTTTCCTTTCCCCAGCTGGCCTCTTTCCTGCAAGCACAAAGTAATTCTTCAAGGGGAACAAACATTCCCCCCGCTCCACACACACGCACACTTTTTTAGACAGATGCTTTGAACACTAATCTGAAAACAAGCCTTACTTTGTGAGAATTTTTTCCTTCTCTGTTGAATTCACTACTCCTGTCACAGCAAATCCTGCAAACCTGTGTGGTGAGTAAAAAGCAGCAATTCAGGACCTTTGCTTTATGGCCAAGTCAAAAAATTGCCTTTTTTGCCAGACCCTGTCTGTGACAGTATTGTTATAGAAGATAATTCAGAATTCAGAAGTATGTCACTGGGTTCCCCTCGCTAGTGAAAGCCTGGCATTGCTAAGAGGAGAGGAAGATACCTTTTAGAAGGTGAGTGTAGATGAGCACGAGAAACCAGCCGGGACTGTGTGGGATTAAAGTTGGCTATGAACAGGTTGTTTTCTTCTATTTGGCTCAGATTTTGATGCATCAAGGACTGTGCTTTCGATCTGGTACTGGGAGATGGGGAGGTGAGCTGGCTGGGAGCTGGAGGAGTGGGAAGATTCGTGGCGACAAGGGTCAGGTGCCAGTGAATGGAAAGTTGTCCTTCCCTTCTTTCACTTCCATCTTTAGAGCGTGATTTTCTGACCTCAGAAGTCCCTTATACTGCTCTGGTACCATATACATAATAATGCTGTATGCAGACGTCTGCATTGTACATGAGTCATAGTCTTAAAGCTTGAAGTTTTGTATATTTTTAGGAAGGTATGTGTATTGTAATACACGCTATCTGCTTTTTTTTTTTTTTTTTTGGAACCCAGCATAATTCTGGCTATTTGATTGAAAAATCATGTCTTTTTTTTGATTTGTTGTAAATGGCTGCAGGGTTTCATAAAGTAACCTACAGAGCCTGATCTGGGAGGAGCTGTGTGCAGCAAGAGAAAAGGGTATGGTAGCTAGACTTTCCACAGCCTGCTGCAATTGCTATGAAAAGCCTCTCCTTTGCCAAATCTTCTTCTGAGCTGGTTAATAGCTGTGTCCTTTGTACAGCTGAATTCTGTCATGGTAAGCAACCAAAGGGTGCATCTATGCCAGCATTTTACTTCAGATCAAGAGTGCGCTTTCAAAGTAAATCATGGTTGTTTACTGATTTTTGGCTCGCAATGTAGAATGATCGTGGAGCAGGGAAACCGAATTTCCTTCAGATGGAACTTAACTGGAAGATGCACTCCACAGCTTGCCTTGTGCACCCCAGTCAGCAAGAGGCATTTAGTCCATGGGACCAGACTAGAACTGGTTTGAAGAAAACCACTCAAAATGCATATTTGGTTTTTGATCATCTGCCGCATTTTTTGCAAATGATGGTGTAGCCTCAGAGGCTAAATGTGTTTCTCCTTCACTCAACAACTGCCTTCCAGACTCAAGACATAATATTGCTTACAGCACTGTTGGTGTTTTGAACAGTAGCAGCAATGTTGGTGTCACTTCACAATTATGCCTGCATATCCTTTTTGTTCTGTGCTAGACAATGCCCCAGAGCGTTGTGCCCCACGTAATGCTGGTGCTGCACTGCAACAGATCTGTTAGGAATTAGCCTGAGCAGTGTATTGTCTTGAGCCCAATCCAAAGAGGAATCTTGCTCGCTACAGATCCACTCAGGGAGGCCTGAGTTGACCTGCAGTGGCTGATGCTTTCTGAGCCCGTGTTGAACCCTATCATCATGTGAACTAAGCAGGTAGCCCTTGCGGTAGCTCCGGGAATCCCAGAGTCTGACGCACAGCTAAGCTGACACAAGGTCACGCTGCATTGCATTAAGGGCAATTTGTTCCTTATAACAGCATCACCTGACAGTGTCGTTCTATGCACTTCCAAAAATCCCATTATTTTGTAATAGAGCTGATGGCTTCTGTAAAACCTATCATTAATTACTTTAAAGCTGCCTCCCTAGGCTTTGTCAGAGCAGAACGGATCTGCATTTTATGGAGCTGCGTCAGACATGACAAACTGACCCAGTAGAAATAATGTTGCATTCTTAATCATCTGCAGTCCTTCCTGGAGCGCCTGTGGAAAGAGGTGGCCTAATCTCGCTCGGCGTGTAGGAGCACGGCTAGAATGGCGGAGGCGTTTCTTAATGAGACGTTAGGCACATTGATTTCCAGCAGTGTTGCTTCACCAAAGCCTATTCATTTCAATATCCAAAACTTAATTTCCTTTTGGTACGGTAACAGAGCGGAGGCCCTGTCCCGCTGCCCTGAGTTATTTTTGTAGGATGTCCTTCCTCCGTTAAATTGTTCATTGCATGATGGCAGCTAATGTAAAGGTCAGTCTGTTACGGATGAGTGGGGAGGAGAGGCTCAGGCCACTTAGCTCAGGCGTCTTGAAACACTGACAATCAGACTAAGGGAACTGCTTCTCCATTTTTAGTTAGGCCATGCTGATCTCTAATGGCCACTTCTACAAGGAGTCTTTACTATCCATTCTGGAGCGGTGAGACACATGTTCATGCACTTCCGTGTGGCCAAAGGCAATCTTGCTGTCATCTTGCACTGTCTTTTTCTTTCTCTCATAAGACCCAGATAATCATGAAGAGGCTATCAATGACTTTCCTTCCTCCTCTCTGGCCAAAGGGAAGGCAAGATCCTGATCCCCCAATTCATTTCTCTCTGAAAGTTGCTGATGAGTCCTGGCTACCCACATAAAAATCCTTCTTCTGAGAAAATACTCCCACTGGCCTCAGTCCACTGCAGCTGTGTTAAAGCCTTGTAGCACTAGCCCTTTAATATAAACGTAGGACTATGAAGAAAATTAACTTGTTTATGTAGATAGCACAAATGGGAATATTTTTAAAGAGCAGCTTGATTATCAGGTTTGGGTAGTACAGCCTCAGATCTGAGACTTGGGATTGGTCAGAGATTCAGAACAAAAACAGTCCTTCGCAGATGTACTGGGATGTGCTGCCAACGTCTGAACAGGAGGCTCCTACAGACATTTCCTTCCTTCGCTCATGAGTCTGTCTTTGCACCCGTTTATGGGAAACGGGATTGTGCATCTACTTTAAGGTCCTGAATCTGTGAGTTTGTGTGGGTAAAGACAAGGCAAAAGAGAGTGGGGTGGGAGAATGTAGTCATCTATTTTTTTCCAAGTCCCATTCAAACACTTTCTCAAAGTTTAAACAAGTTAAAAAGGCAGCAAACATGCATTAAGTAGCACTTTGCTAGAAATGTTTCTACTTTATGCCTTATGAGTAACTGGGAGTATAGTGGGGATATGGCAAGGTTCCATAGGTTCCATCTATATTATGTGAGGAGGGGTATAAAACAAGCGGTTCCTCCTGGAAAGAAAAGTAGTTGGTCTTTCACTTGCAAGCTTTTGTGTATTCGTTTATTTAATCTGTATCGTCTGATACAGTCACTTTCAGGCAAGAGAAATAGTTTTTCTTAAATACCTCATTCAAAGGTTGGTCTGTAGAGACAATTTTGTAGTAGCCAGCGAAGATATGAGGCACAACCTCACCAGAAATTGCTCAAACCTTACCTTTTCTTAGGTGGTGGAATTTTTACGAAAGGTCAAACTTCCTCCAGTACAACTAGAGCTGAAAACATAGGCTTTGTTCTGTCTGAAAAGGCACGATTCCTTATGCTGTCGCAGCAGATAGCTAGAAGGGATGTTTAGAACCTGGGGATGTCCTGAAGACTTCTCCCGGCTCCAGACATGAGGATTTCCAAATTATCCAGGAACAGATTCTCCTCCCTCAGAAGAGGGCAGTACTCAGGAGAGGCACTAGGACCTGTGAGTAAAAGGAGCTGGGGCAGATTCAACAAAGCCTTCATATGTATTCTTAATTTTAAACATATTCACTGGTTTATTGAGCCAAGAAGGTGCCGGTGATATCTAATTCCATCTCTTGCCAAAATTGTCCCTATGAGTCTTACATCGTGTTCACAGGTTTCCCATGTCCATTCAGCAAAATGCCGTTAGAGCATGCTGTCTTTAGTAGTGCATGTGCATATGCGCTTAACTTCAGAGATGCACTTATTTAGCAGAGCACTTATAGTTAGATGTGTTCTGAAATGCCAGTAGGTAATTTTAGGTAATTGTCGTAGTTGATTGGTCTTCCCCTGTCTACTTGTGGAGAGAGATGGGATGCCCACGAGGGCAGTTTTTAGAGTACCTGTTTCTCTCCATTGACTCCTGAGGGGAGCATCTCGATTAGGTTCCTAATGTTGATTTGCGTCAAATAATGAGTTGGAGACTGTTTCCTCTCTCTGCTTATATTCCCACTCAGTTTTCTCTCTCAAGCTTTTCTTGGTTTGTTGTCTTTTCTAAGGAAACAGCTCTTGGATTTGTCTCTCTTATGCAGCTGCACAACACTTAGGAATGGTGATTTGTGAAAAGGCACAAACACCATTTGTCAGAGGTCATTTTTTGGTGTTTCTGCCAGACTAGAGTTCCTGTGACTTGCCTGAGAGACCGGAGAGAGTTCAGAGGAGAGCTGCGCATACAAACAGCGCTTGCTTAGAAGCTTTGCAATATAAAACTGCCAAAGGAGGATGAGAAGAATGGAGAAATGTTCAGCCTGAACAAAAAGCACCGTGAGGGTCCAGGGGTAAGGGAAAAGCATAGCTGCTACCTATTGATAAGTTAAAGAAAGTTTGCAAAGAATGTAGAGTACTTGTTCCCATTACTCAGTGAAGGTAAGGCAAGGAATAAAAAGCCTCAGTTACAGCAGGGGAATTATAGGTTACTTTTTAAGGAAAACTTTGTGGCTTTGTGGTTATTTGTGGAACAAGCCATGGAATCTCCCCTGGATGTGATGTGCAGGGTGAGACAAAATTCTCTGCGAGGCAGAGTTGAAGAAGAAATAATACAGTCCATCATATCCGGATGGGGACAGGACTGGATAGTCCAGCAGAGTGCACTCTCAGCTGACATGAGCGTAATGTGTTGCTCGCAAAGAGACTGATCAGTCAGGAGGTCAGAGGGAAAAGAGAGGTGGCTGAACAGAAAATAATGGTACAGATCACGACTCATATTTGCGGTCCTGCTTGGCTACTCTCTTGAGATCTCTCTTGAGGATCTCTCTTGAGAACTGTGGGTGGCCTCCAAATAGCACTGAGAGGAGTAAGGTGCAGGCAAAGAGAAGTAGTTTAAATACTGCCAAGAGAGAAGGTATGGGAATGTCAGAGGTACCGCAGGTTACATCCACACCGTTACATTAATTTGAGGTTTGAGCTTGCCCTCAGCCACCTGAATGGGCTACCTGTGGGCCCACACTTTCACTCCGGTGCGGATGAACCTGCTGGGTTCTCTGATGGCAGCATTTGGGCACAGTGAGGGATGCAGTGGCTTGCAGCAAGCCTCCCATGTGAAGCACCACAGATGCAACCCCCTCAGCCCAGTGGTACAGAAAACTACAGAACACAAATCAGCCACAGCTAGCTTGGAAGTGCAGAAAAAATTAGCTAGTTAGGAGCACACGTTCACCTTTTTTTCCAAAGGGGTTCCTGTTCCCAAATCACTTTGGTGTTTTTGTCACCTGCAACTGAAACAGAAGAAAGAAAAAGTTCTGCATAGAGAAGACAGATAGATGTAAAAGTGTTGGACTGGAAAAGCTCATACAGGGAAAAAATAACTAAAATAACTCCAAAAGCTAGGAAAGAGAGTTACGCAGAGTAATACATTAAGGAGGAATTGGAAAGAAATGTATTTGGTGGAAAAGATGGAACTGAGAGAAGGGCAACAGGGAAAAATACAGGCAAGAAAGAGGACCAAGTGAAAAGATTTTTAAGAGATGAAAGAAATGAGATTCAGATAATATGCTGAGTGTCTATTCATACTAAGCCTATGGAGCCTGATGGTGAATATGGCTCCATGGTTCAGCTAGCAGAAGAAAACATTTTGTGTAGACTTGCACGGTATCCTGTTTGTAAGAAATGTACTTGAGCAATTGCTGTCAGGGGTATTCAGAAGGAGAATGTTAATTTTAGTTTGAACAACCCAAAGGTCTCATTTGAAATTATTATGCAATAGGTATAAATTGCATCAATATATGAAAAATGAAGAGGTAATGCAGTATTACCACAATGTCTTCTTTGCTTTCTGCCTGTCTGTTTTTGCAGCCCTCCCCCTTTAATTTCAGTCTTATTCCAAAATGAAGTATGGGGTCAATCTTTTTTTCCTTAGCAGTTGCATCAGCCATAGGAATGAATCACATGGTAAATTAAAGAGTACGAATAATTCAGAACAAAATTTTGAACCATTTAAAAAGCAGAGGCTTCACATTTCATTTTTAACCTATTCCCATATAATGTGAAATCTACAAAAATTAGATTCAAATTTTTGGAGCAAAACTATTTAAAATACTTGAAAATATTTTTGCTTTCATTTCACTGTGTCCAAAGAATATTTCATACACAGAGTTTTCCAAATATGTGTTTTACATTTCTTGAAAAATCAGAAGAGAACTAAATATTGGGGTTATATACTGCCTAAACATGAAACACCATTCATATTTCCATAAAATATTATGGCCATAAAATGTGATCACCTTTTGCCTCCGAGCTTGATAGAAAATGGAATGCTACAGTCAACCAAAACTGACCATATTAGGGAATTTACAGGATCTTTTTCTATCCTTGTCATGCATATATACACTACCATCTTCACTCATGAGTGTGAATTTTTGGCTCCTTAATACCAGCGTGACTAGAAAACAGCCTTTGACTGGGCCTGAGCCAAAAAGCTTAGCAACCACAACACAAAGAGAAAAGCCAGTGTAATACTGAGAAGAAATTTTTCCTAGTGATAAGAACAGGAGTTCAGAGTCAGGACTTTGAGGATTTATTCCCCCGTTTAGTCACTAATTCCATGTGTGGCCTTTCAGGGGTGACTTTACCCTCTCCTTATTAAAGGTTCATACCTCATTGTCCTCATCTGCCACATGGCACGAGCAAGACCGAGCGACTTTGCCGCTGAGGCTGTGAGTGACCAAATGGCACAGCATTTGTAAAGCACATTGAAACCCTCCAGTGCTACAGAGAAGGCAAATAGCATCCTGATCACCTCCCATGCATGCAGCATGATTAATGAGCCTAAGACAGTCATTCAGGGTAGCTAAGCAGATGGTTATGGCAGCATTAATATGCATTTGCATTGCTCTGACCACAAGATTAGCATATGCATTCCACCTCGGGTATCACGGCTGCGTCACCAGCGGACGATTTGGGGTATCCTACCATTCGGTCCCTGCCCTGTTGATCTCTTCCCACCAGCACTCGGTCGGCTCGCCGAGGCTCTGGGCCGCCGGCATGCACGCGTAGTTCCACAGCCTGTCGGAGCCCTCCTTCTTGCTGAAAACACTCCTGATGGCCACGATCACCTGCCCGTGCGGACACTGGAAGTTGAAGCCCTGCCGGTACACATTGGCCCATTCATCATTATCTCCGTCGTTATAGGGGCCATAGTAGTAGTCACCATACTGGCCCCACGCCAGTGTCACGAAAGGCAGGAACACAGAGAGAACGGCAAGGTCCATATTGACGATGCTTCTGGCTTAGAAATGCCCCACCAGTTTGTTGGGCTGGCCTTTTTATATCGCTTCTAACATTTGGCTTCCAGATGTTATGCTTCCAGATCCAAGTGCAATGTGTCATTGCTTAGCAAACCTTCTCTGAGTTACAGACACGTCCAATTACTTTTAAGGTGGAATTTTGCAAGTACAGTAACTCTGCAGGCCATAGGAATGAGGGTTTCCCACAACTGCAAGTTGTTTGTGATCCCTTGCTGTACAGCTACTGTATAGAACAAAATATACATTGTAATGCACGTGTCACAGACATCCCACTTGTGCTCTCAAGAGAGCAGTTCAGTTTGCAAACTACTTTATTTGAAATTAAAGCTCTCTTTGAAGTTGCCCTGTCCCATCATTAGTAACATCTGACAAAATGTGATCTTGCCCCCCCGCCCCCGCTTTTTCCTTAAATATGAGTGAAATGATTCTGTCAGTTCCTAGAAAGGTGGAAATTGGGCGAGGTGGGGGAATTCACTACTCTCATTGTAAAAAATCCTTTACACGTTTTGGCTTGGTTTGGTTGCAGGAGGAGTGCAGCCCAGATGACCGAGAATCCAATGTTCTGGCTTGGCATGGAAACAGCCCACATTGGGAAGCGGGGCACCAGCTTGCTCCATGCAAAACTGTTTCTGCTGTGACTGGGTGTGAGCACTGTAAAACTGTGGGTCCAGCAGATATTTTTATATGAGGGCTTGCACATAAGCAATTTACAGTGAGAAAAACTTTTGTGTGTTACTACAGCCCATGGAATATTTTTTATCAAGGCCCTTTAAACTACCTTGCGTTTACCATGGAGCTGTCACTGGAAAATGGCTATGCTACAGGTTCACAACCTGGCTTACCACTTGGAAACACGTTTGTATAGCGTATCCTCAGATCATTTCTTTATCAAGAAACCATCCTATTCAGGAGAGCATGGAAGGGTGAGCTTTATTTAATTATATACTTCAATCCCATTGAAAAGTATGGGATCTGAGGATGATTTCTTAAGTAATGTGCTTAAGCTTTCCCTATTCAGAGTCCACCGTTAGTCTAACGTACTCCGTATACGTGTATGTTGCCTATGCTGTGTTACTAGTGAAATGCATGACCCTTGGAATGGCTCCGGATTCAGATCCAATCTCTTCCTGTGAAATAATCAGAAAGGATCCGAGACCTTTTATCTTGCTGCAGATTTCTCTTCTACCCTTTTCTCTGTCCCTCTCCTCCACTTAGGCCATGTGCAAAAATTTACATTTGAACTTTTATTCTGCTGCTGATGTTCTCAGAAAGATGATCTGTAATAGGTAACAGAGTGGACTTGCTCCAAATGGCAGCACTTCTCTAGGGAGCTCCAAATTCATCATGTCCAGGTCATTTCTTCATTGCTTTGCAGGAGCATAAGTGTCCCAGGAGGCAGGTGCCTTTCCTAACCAGCCCCAAAACTTAGAAGCTGCCTGTGGAAAACATATCGTTCAGCCTCGTCAGGCAGGCTGGGTGAGTGGTAGCATGCCTTTAGCTGCTGGCCTTTTTTGTAGCAGAGCCTCATCTGACAAGCCTGGAAATGGGGTTGAGCTCTTTGCCAAGAGCAGAGTGCAGCGTTGACCCAAGTCATCCACGCTCACAGTAAGTGCGGATCCACGTGAATCTGGGCAGCTGAGAGCTGCTGATCTAGCTCAGCACCTGTCTTCCAGCTGCAGCAGGAGCAGGTGCTGGGGGGAGGATACAGAGACAGCACAAAACAGACCTTTCCCTGGAGCCACCTTCCTCTAGATGTGTATTGACGGTGGGGAACACAGGTAGCTGAAGTCTAGAAGAGAGAGGAAGTGGGAGATTAAAAAAGACAGTGTTCCCAGGGGCATCAGAGAGCAGTCTTGAATTGCATGATCTCACATAAATATTTCAGCTAACTTAGTGTACATTTTTCCCCGCCTTACATCCTCAGACACGTAGTCAACATCTGGGAGCACCATACGCTGCTCTATATGCCTGAGAGGCATTCTGGAAGTGATTTTAGCAGGAAGTACCACATTATCATATACACAATCCTCTCCTCGCATAACCCTTACCCCTTCATAAACCCTACTCGTTGGAAAACTCCTCAAATAACCCACACAAAATCAGGGGCAAGAGGGGATGTGAAGTAGGAGGAGGGCATTGCAGTGGGTGGGAGACAATCTTCCCCTGCCTACTTTTGATGTGCACGTGAAGCTTTGAGGTGTCTGTTGACATTATTCCTGCATATGGATCTACCCTGCCTGATTCCAGTTAGCGTGTAAGGTGGCACTTCCATGCTACGCTGTGATCAAGTAGGGAAGATGATAGTGAACACAAGAGGTCTGGAACCACAACTCTCCTGTAGCGCTCATGGCACTGCAGACATATTCTGTTCAGGGACAACAGAAAAAGACTGAAAACAGAAAAAAACTGAAAAGCTACAGTTGCGCATTTTTGGCTCCAATGTTTTTGGGGAACTTTTAATAATTTCATGCCTCATTCTGATTCTGAATAAAAACGAGAGATTTGAATTTCTTACAGGAGAGACATGATGTTTTTCTGTCACCTTGGAGTAGAGCGGTGTTTGAGAGTGGGGGGAACTGTGATATGAAAAGTCCTGTTGGGGTTAAAAAAGGAAGAACTGTGTACATACATGAATTTTCTTTCAGGGTAATGTTCTATCAGCTCTGAAGTTCACAGCAGCTTGGTTCATGGAGCAAAGCTGAGGCTACATGGGGCTTGTTTCCTTAACACTTTACACCACTGCTCCAACCCAAATAGTTGCACTGATGTTACCAGTGCTGGGAGCTGCAAACGTATGTTTCCAGTGACTCACTGGCATGTTAACCACTATGCCAAATTCTGCTCAGACCAGTCAAGTAAACATAGTATTTCAAAGGCTGGTGGCCAGCAGTTTAAAGCAGACCTTGGAAGAGCTGCCAACTAGTCTGCCTGGCTGACAGCAAGGCATGATTTGGGCAGCGTTGTGACTTTGGCTGACTTCAGCTAGAATTTGCGCTGGGAGAATAACTCAAGAGATATTGAAAAATCTCTGAAATGATTTGTCCTTTCATTTAACTTGAAAAAGTCAACTGCATGTCTTGCACATTCAATCTTCAGAAAAGAGAAAGTGTCAATAAAGAAGCAGAGAGGAGGTGCTAGGGCCAGCCTTTCGTTACCAGATTTCGTACCAATATGAAATCCATGTTAACTGGTTATTTCATTTTCTATCAGTTATTAGAAGTGCTGCATTTAATCCAGACAAACAAGGATTTATTTTCTGTCTGGCCCGGTGGTGGTGGAGGAAAGTGATTGTTCCAGTCTATTTGGCACTTATGAGGCCACAAGTGGAGCAGTGTGTCCAGTTGTGTACCCCTGGCACAAGAGAGCTATTGACGTTAATACCCAGCAGAGGGCCACCGAGATGGTCAGAGGCTGAAGTGCTCAGCGTACAAGGAGGGGCTGGGTTTGCTCAGCTTGTAGACGAGAAGGCTAAGGGGGAGCCAGCTGCTGTCTTCAGCAGAGAGCTGGGACGTGATGAGAGGTTATAGAGAAGGTGGAGCCAGATTCCCCTTGGGGGGGGTCTCACAAAAGGATGAGAGGCAACGGGCACAAGTTACAGCAGGGGAAATTCCTTCCTATTGGACATGAAAAAAATATTCCCCATGAGGGAGGTCAGGCACTGGAACAGGAGCCCAGAGTTGGTGTGGTTTCCCCATCCTTGGAGATATTGAGAACGCAATAGGACAGGGCCCTGAACAACCTGATCTAACTTTGAAGTTAGCCCTGTGTTGAGCAAGGGTTTGGACTAGAGGCAACCAGGGAGAAATCCCTCCCAAGCTGAAGTACTCTGTGATCCTCTCCTGCTGTTACTGTATGCTCCACTACTTTCAGATGCTCCTTCATGGCACTGCAGGCATTATTAGTGCCTTAGAGCCATTTAGGAGAAATGCAGCAGTATTCTTTTACCATGTCACATTGCAACCATGAAATACAGAGAGATTGCAGTGCTTTGAACTAAAATCATGGATGCAGTTAACCAGCTTGATAGGTTTTATATTAGCACCGAACCTCTATGCTAAAGTAAGGGAAAGAAGAGGAAAGTTTTTTTTAATCATTTGGCAAACACAGGGGCACTAGAGCTGCGACGGGAATAGCAAGGGTTCAGACTTGATCAGCAACAGGTACAATTAGGCCATATTTCTACAAAGCTGTGTTACGTGAAAGTAGTGTCATCTGATTTTAGAGGAGTAGCATTTCTGTCTTGCTGAAGTTCTTCCAGCTACAAAGGTCTGACTCACGGATGACCCATTTTTTTTCCTACTCTGAGGGCAAAAAAGGCATATAAGGGTGTTATCTCACAGCATTTCATCCTTCTGGTGCACGAGAATAATTCCATCCCATATGACTCAGGACTGTAGCCAGAAGTGGACCGTTGCATTTAGTGCTGGTGAAGAGAGCTGAATGCATAGTGCCTGAATCTTGAAGTCCTTCGGACACAAAATAGGTACGGCAGAAGCAGCAACAGCAGCCATATTCTATCTGCTTCCAAGCTAATGCAGCCCCATCATGGTATCTCACAGTGAGAAGAAAGTGTTTTTCATGTCAATTCACTGCATCGGTGAGGTAACACATTTTGAACATATTTTCCATATTTTATTACACATTGTCTCAGAGTGGTGCTGGAAGCTCTGAGTGGAGCTTGGATGAGTCAGGGAGGCAACATGATCTGGGAGCTCTGAATTGAACTCAGTCGCTGATTACTTTTCCATGGCATCTTTGCAGCATGACTTTTTTTTTCTTATAAGCTTCCTCCATTGTCAGTTTTTGTAAAGGTGTGAAGATTTGGGGTGCCTCGTTATGTTTTTGCAAGGAGGTTATAGAAACCTTGCTAATGTGGGGAAAGATGAAGCTGCTAGAAAGCTGTGCTTCACACGGGGTGGAGTTATATCCTTGTCAATTTTTTAGCTCAGAGCTATTGCCTTCTATCAGAGTAGCCCATATGGTGAAGGCTGGAGTCCATTCGTCAAAGCTACCTATTCTTAATGAT